TCTATCAGGGACCTACGCAACGCAGTAGATATAAAGAATTAGAGTAGTTGAATGCCTTATTCTATATTATGTAGTCCTATTGACAACGACTCAACGCTTAAGAAAAAGGAAGAGTTTTCTCTCAGCCGGTTCGGGTGAGAGGAAACTCCTATAGCTTCCCCTCTTTTTGTCACGTGAAAAAGGTAAGGCGGCGTTAACCAATAGCCTTGTGCTTTAGCTCTCCTTAACTTATGCTTCTAACCATCCTTTGCCTTATCCTTTTCTTTCTATACCGTCCACCCGATTCGGGTGGAGGGCGTAGGGTACTTGGGGACAACGGTGGGCTCGTGACAAATTCTAATATTTTAAGACTAAATTTAAAGATAAAAAATTTAAATCTCGAGAATAAGTGCTGCCGACTGAGATCGAAATAACTCTCTTTTTTTATTATTTCACTGTAAACTAAGTCGAATCAGCTCGAATGGACCTGGAATCGGTCTCAGACCGGGCTATAACCGAGTCTGGCGCTTAAATCGCTGATCAGACTGACTCGATTCGAACCAGGTCGAACCGGTCTAACACCTGTAGGGAAGGCGACATGGAAGATCTTCTACTAGCATCCCTTGCGAAGCTCCAACTTGAAATTACTATCCCTTGATCCTTCGATGCATTGAGGATAATGCGTATACGTGCTTCACTTCAACTTCCCTTCACGACCAAACTATGTACGACATGACACACTAGCTTGCAACATTCTCTGGCCTTTACAGTGAGAACGGCTGAACCTTGTCAACCTCAGTGAAGCCAGCTACAATGAATATTGGGAGACGACTTCAATGGAGCCTCTACCAGTACCCCTGACACAGTAGATCTGGACGACGATGACAGTTCCATGGAGATGAGAGACAATGGTCTGCCGATGATGTTCGGCCTAGTCTACGCCAATCTACATGAAGGCTATGAATGTTACCTTTGTTTTAGGGATTAGTAGGAATAGAAGGCGCTAGTGGTGGGAGGATTGGCGTACGTACGTGCTGGAGGGAGGGGAGGAGCGACTGTATTAGAAAGTCGAACAAATGATTACTACCATGGCTTTTAATGCAGGGAGTGATGGCAATGACTTACAAATTGTTTCCGAAATGCGCAAAGGAAAATGAAGGGACGGACAAACGCAGCACCAAAAGTTCCCAGAACAGTCTAGCTGCCAGTCGTTTCCAGCGCGTGGCTTGTGCATATGGTAGCGTTGTGTAATTTGGTGTCTGCGGAAATGAATTTCATCACCACGTGACTATCACTCAACGATTGATTTCAAAGTAGTAGGAAGATGGGTTGGTTGGTATTTGACAACCGATCCGAGAAAGTCATCTGTTTCATCCAAAGAAAGATCCAGTTTGTAATCTCCAAGCCACCGTGGGAGCGGCCTGAATCTACCACGGTAGCGAATGCGGTACCCCATCAATTTGCCCCTGCTTTCTGGGGAACTTGATGTAGTGGTCGTCGGCTCGCCTCGGGTTAGTCCGTCACTGTCATTTAAACTTGGTTGTCTAGTAAGCCGGCCACCGATCGAATCAATGTGAATTAATAGAATGCAGTGCGAAAGACTATATTGCATCTGAAGAGGTCGAGGTTTCTGTGGGCGGTTGACCCCCGACGTGAGGTCAGGTGACCTCCACGTGACTAGTGCCTCTTGGCTAGTCCGTGGCACTCGGTCGGCAGCTGTCATTTAAAACTGTCCAGACGCACATATAAACCGCTTTTAATTGTTCACCTGAAGCCGACCCCCCATGTAGGGAGAAATTGTTGGCGTGCCCACGAGGAATGGCATCGCCGGCTTTGCCGCTGGACTTTTGGCGTCCTCTGGCGGAGTGAAAACAATCTGGAGCCTGTTTTGTGATGCTGCTCGTAATACCCGCCCACCCAGATGCTGGATCCAATTGCGGCGAGGGTTGGACCTCTGTTTCCGTGCCAGAGGTTCGGCTCGCCTTTGCGCACAGGGCATTTCGCTTACCCCAGAGGTGGGTACTTCTAGATCTTTCGCGAGCATCGGCAATGTTATCACAGTTATCGAAGGGCTCGCCAAGGTCTGCTCTATCTAAGCGCCTCGGGGACACGGGGTAGCCTTGTGGAGGGTTTTCGATGCGCCACGGGCAAGTTTTCTCTTCGATCTGGGACCCAATGCCACGGGGCAGACCAACAAAGAGACGGCAGCAACTTGTGCACTCTTCTCTCATCCAACGTCAAAAGTCTGAATGCAGGGTCGTGTGCAGATCAATTCTCGTCCAATCACGGCCCGTGGACCAGCATCTTCGGAACGTGAAACGCGAAAAGCAACCCCTAGGGAGCCCTGTCAAACGCAGGGGGTTCAAAGTTGTCGTCAACTCCAATAATGCGGAATGCAAAAAAGGAATCACGACAGCTGTGAGACTGGGCGCAAAGTATGGCCATGTTCGCACCCGTCTATCACTACTCCTTGTAGAAGTAGTGCGCTCTCCTGCCGCGTGCTTTCAATGCCTAGAGATATGTATATAGTGCTATTGCGTTCCCGCGCCCTACCGCCCCATTTCAACTCTGGCCACATTCGTTCGTTCAAGTTCTTGTTGTGCGCGCAGGTCGTGCATCTTTCATTCTGCTGTAATTTACTTATAGTCGACACCCTCTCTCTCTCTTCGCATCCGCAAGATCAGCTAGCCCGAACTGCACTCCCTTGAACTGCCTCAGATTCAGCGACAGAACACCAAAACATCAAATAATCAACAATGCGCCTCGCTCTTCTGTACGTCCTCACCGCCGCTTTTTCGGCTCTTCCAGTCCTTGCTCAAAGGGGCCGTGGCGGCGGTGAAGGTGGGTTCAACCACGGCGGTGGCAACGCTCCCAACACCTTCATCACCAGAGTCTCTGCCGCCCCTCCTCCTGCCGCTGCCACCACCGCCGCCGCCAGCCCTGGGAACACTGGGAGTACTTCTACTGGCGGCAACACCGGCGCGGTCGATGCTTCACTGATTCCTCCGTTTGGCATCACTCCTGGAATCAAAGCCACCGATGGAACCGCGAATTGCGTGGGGGACAATGGGGTAGACATTCCGTAAGCGGCCGTCGGGCGTCACTTGTACAGCGACCAAGTTCTGATATCGAGCAGGTGCAACTGTCCACCAGACTTGAACACTTTCATCAGTGCTGTCGAAGCCTCGGTGGCAGGCGGAGCGGCGTTCCCACCTGGTAAGTCGCGCATTCAGTCACCCCATGTCGGTCTCCTAATCACTGCGACAGGTAATTCAGCAGCAGACCAACTCACCCGCCTCCAGACGTGCATCGTCACCCTACAGAACTTCAGGGGAGGGGCAGGGAGCGGCGTTGGGTGTCCCATAGTGGCCACAACGTGGAAGGAGCTGCAGGCTCAACTGCAATCGGAAGCCAAGTGAAAGGGGGAAGGAAGGCAACGACAGAGGGAGCAACAAGCTAAGCAACGGGGGGCACTTGCCATGTTCTCACCAGATAAACGAATTTGAAACCTTTTCCCGCGTACTGATCCTGGCAGACATGCCGAAAGCAAGCCTATCAGTACCGCGAGCCCACCTTGATAAGTTTGGCGACTAAGCGGGGGATAGGTGATAGGGGTAAGTGGCGAGAGTCACTGCGATACTATTGACGGTTGAAGACGTGGGTAATAAGGTGTTGAAGCGCGGTTTTGAAACAGTCGTGTTTCAAAGCCTCGAGGAGTGTCGGGTGGCCCGTGCGCCATATTATTATATGACAGACCTACCAAGTACAAGTACCTAATATGTCCACACGGCGCTTGACTCATTCGGGATTCCGCCACACTGCCATCCTCTGACTATGCCAACAAGGCAAGGGGGGCAGTCGAAGGCGGTATGATCTTCCTCGCGATATCCTGGTCGAAAAGCCATGCGAACTCCTCCAGAATCTCTGCCGGGGTCATCGACCTTCACACCATCATATGGCTTGTCATTACCATTCCCCAGGCAAAGATGAGACCCGGATCCATACATTATCTTCACTACTTCCGTTTGGACAATATGGCAGACCTTGGACCACATCCCTCGCCATGAAGCCGAAGGCATTGTTCCGTCTTCAAGCTGATGGAGATGTCCTTGATCGTCATTTCAGGTGCAAATCTCTTCCTTGGACAGCAACTGTCTGTGCCTCTTGCCTCTCGCTCGTGAACATGAAGAATTCCCAGGTCTCATCCCCCATACTGGATCCTGAACGACAACTTCTTTCGTCCCGAGCAGTGGGCGTCTTCGGAAGTTTCATGATTCTGTGTTCTCAATGTCAACCTCGAAAGCTCCTGGCAGAGCAGTCTGGTGATATCTGTGACGTTTATATCTCGGATAACGCAAAACTGGTTCAGGACCCGGACTATTCCTTGACGCAAGTTCACAGGCTGATACTCTGAGATCCGCTCAATATCTACCGGATCCCGGTGGCGGGTCGATAGGGCACTGGGCCGGCAAGTCCTTTTCCCCTGTTGCCTAACATTACCATGTAGCAAAGGTACGGATAACCTATGAATGCCTCGAGACGCGTGAGCCAATTGGCTTGAATCATCGTTTCACCTATCCTGGCACTGCCAGAAGAGGCCAAAGGAACCGTTTTGCCTCCATCGATCATGCTTCCAGCGGCCAAGGTCACAAGATAATGGGACCCTGTCGTACCTCGGCCGTGATTTGCAAGATCAACGACCTAAAAGTGCGCCGTCTTATACCCTCCATGAGGCCAACGACGGTATCCTCGCCGATGGCTTCAATCAGCCTGTCCAGCTTGTCGGTTCAGTGGACGATAGATTGGAGCCCATTTCCTGAATTGAAGAGAGGAAGGAGAGGTGGCTATGAGCGTCAAGAGGGTGTCTAGAAAAAGGTAATGTAGGGGCTTAGTAATCGACGACCCGTGTGCGCGTCTCCCAACGCGTCGCGCATCAATCCCTATTTACGTCCTGCGGCGAAGATCAATTCTGCCGTCACAGACATCACCGCGGCCACCAACGATGCCGGACCGTCTTGAGCATGCTTGCTCCTCCTGGCGCCATCCCGCCCAAGTTGAAAAGATGCCTTGCCGAACTCCTTCGCACGTGCGTGCATCCACCCTCACTGCTCCTTCGAGTCGAACACGTATTTGGGAAAGCGCAGGCGGGTAGCCATAGAAACGCAGTCGTCCATCGTGACGACGAACGAGAAGAGGATCACCAAGATCAAATTCCCATCACGACCGGCGATGACCACAGCAACCAAGCTGCTCAAGGATCTGACCCTCGGTGTTTTCGTCTCACCCTCTCAGATGGCCATCTCCAGGTTCAGGCCTTAGTAGCCCCAACCCTCCTCTTTACGACAAAGGAGCTCTTGGACTTGCGGCGAGGGGACCTCATTGAGGTGCACAAGTTCCAGGTGAGGAGTGCGCCGCGACTGAAGGGGAACGGTCGAGTGGTTTATTTGGGGATACAAGATTGCGAATGGGTGGGCCGGGACAGAGAGACTCTAGAAAAATCGGGAAGCGACGGACTTGAACTTGAAGAAGGCGGCTTCTTTCGTGAGCAGGAGCAGAACGAGATGTTTCCAAGAAAGCAAGACTTGACTGACGGCTCAGACAAAAGCAAGTCCAAGGGGAGAGACTCTGGCAACCGCGATAACAAAGCGCATAGGATGAAAAGGACGCAGAGCAAGTCAAAATCGTCCAAACCTACGCCGCAGGTTTCTCGGAATGCGTCAGAATATGAGTCAGATGGCGATGAAGGCTTCGCCACGATCCTTGTGTCTCAGTCACAGCGCAAGCTGCGGAGGGGAAACACTCCGCCAGATCCAGCAACAGCCTTCTACTGACGAGGTTATTGTGAACCGACGACAGCCACGAGGAGAGTACATCCAAGCCGAGACACAAGGCAGTTTCACAACCACGTCACTCCTGCGCTCGTCAAATCGCTCCCATCAAGACAGCACAGCTGCTGACGGAAAACGGGCTATCGACGGAGACAGGGTGGCAGAGGCCGACTATCAGAATGCTCTTCCTGACCACCACCCAACCCATCTCGCAGTCTCAACTCCTCATTCAGCTTCACTTCATCCACGTGGCGACCACATCACCCGCCCCACCAGCACGACATCTATCCCTCCAACAATCGCCAGCCTCTCTTCCCTCCTTTCCCTTCCCATTCAGAAAAATTACACCTGCACCGTCCTCGCCATCATATCCTGGGTATCTCCCTCGCTGATCCACCGCCCGAACACGCCCTTCCCGCCAAAACGGCACATCAAGATTCACGACCCGTCTATATCACACCGCACCTCCGGTATCACTGTCTCGGTATTCGTGGACGCGCAGAAATTTCTCCCGGTCGTAGGTACCGTGGCTCTGTTCAGGGGCTTAGTAATGCATAGAGTCAGAGCAACAGGCTACCACGCCGAGGGCGAAGGAGGAGGGGACGTGATATTGAACAAATACCCCCCTTCGAAGTCGTGGAGCCAGGCTCAGAGAGCAGCGGAAACTGCTGAGGGTGGAGAAGAGTCTGGTGACGCCGCCGAGGGCGATGGGAAAGGCGAACGAGATCGACAAGTTGCTGGAGGCGAATGGTTCATTTGTGATGAGACTAGGCTGGTCCAGATGGGCTTCGACGTACAAGCGCTCAAGACGTGGTGGGAGCAGAGGGCTGCCGCGAGGACAGGGAAGGGACAGGGACTAGCAGCGAAAAAAGCAAGCGAAACTTCATCGACGGATGCGAGAGAGGATGCCCGAGTCAATCGAGAGGAACTGCAGTATTGAATCACCCAGCCCTCGTTCGAGAGAAGCTAGAGAAGGAGTTCCATGCGGAAAGAGAGGTTCTATCACGGATGCTTCAAGGGGGAATCCAAAAAGCAACGTCAAGGGCTTCGTTATTTGTCGCATCTACAGGTAATGTGTCTAGACCATAGAATCCCACCCGGGGGAATCTTCTGGTGTCCAATCCCGCTACTCTACCAGTTGCCCGCTTCCGACGAGGAGAGACATTTCTCACCATACACATGTATCCAGCTGATTGTTCCTCGCGCATCGGGTTTGGCGGAATGGCCATGGCACCAATCGGGTCTCTCCATCTGATGATGACGGGCCGTAACAACCACCCAACTTGGGCATTCTTCTTTCTGCGCAATGGAAAAAACATGAGCTGTACTCGTTGATTTTGCTGATTGTCTTCTGTTCGTTTTTGTGTTTTCGCATGTTGTTTAGGGGGGGGGGTTTGGTTTCGTTCTTGTCCAGAAGCCTGCTCCCAGGCAAAGCATGGAGTCTCTCAATCACGCCCCAAATTTCTCTCCAGGCTTCAGCTTCAGCCATGGACACGCCTGCCAATCGCATCCCATCTTGTATACCTCCGTGCCCCACCACCTGAATCCATCCATCCAGCCGGGATACACGAATCCAAAGAAGACAATAAGCAGTGAGAAAGCCAACCCAGAGTCTAGTGCGGCGGACATGGTCATGGTGTATTTGCCCCACCAGCCCGGTGCCTTCCTTCTCACAAGCCAGTTGAACATAAAACATACCACGGCCCAGACGGAGAAGTTCAACCCGGTTGCGGGCGGAATCCAGGACAGCGAGCCGAAAAGGACGGGGAGGTTGATCCTGCGCCAGACGGACTTCTTCGCGCTTCTCCTTCCCAATAACCAGATGAGAATGGGTGCGATGAAGCCGATTAGAAAAGCCCAGACGAGGTGCCGATAGAGGGCACCCGGACCAAAGAAGCGTTGTGGTCCGACAACACCCCAAAGAATGCTCCCGTTGAAGTGGACACGGGCAATGGGACAGTTGAACCCGTTGATTGCTTGCGGGGTGCAGATGCCGGGGATGTTGATGAACATCCAATTGAGCACTGCAATTTGTACCAAGCTAGACACCAAGGTGGCGACCATCTGGACTTTGAAGAGCAATTTTGGTGGAATCTTCATATAGTGACCCAGTTTCAAGTCAGAAGAGAACTTGATGCCCTGTGCGGAAGAAATGTAGCAATAGGTCACAAAGACCATGTTGGCAACTGGGCGGCCAGGAAAGACAACGCCACAGATTAGTTGGCAGATTAGATAGAGGCTGCTGTGCTGGTTGGTAATGGCCATCACAATACCGACCGGGACAAAGAGAACGGTGGTGATGCCAAGAGCCATAAGGAGGCCGTACCATGGGAGATGCACCGGGTAGTACTCCACGACGAAGATTCCAACGCCTAACATGGTGACGAAGGTCAGCGCGTACCATGACATGGGTACGTCTTGATAACGCTTCATGAGACGGTTGTGGACGTCCTCACCCCCGGCCTGGATAGATTGACTGTCAATCCTACCCAGATGGGGTTCGCAGTGGCCGTTTTCGGCCGAGCTGGGAATGGGCTGGTACTCGGCATTGTCTTTCTCCTGTCTCTCGTGGAAGGCTTGTTGAGATTGTCGCCATATATCCTTGCCGTGCCAGCATGTTGTGTGGGTAAGTAAAGCCGACAGCGCGGCAAATTGTACTCCATACGACAGCACATATGTGATTGGTAGGTATACTTTGGAGTAGTTGTCATAGGCTTCTTTGTCAAAGAGGAAGTTTGGAGTGAGAATTTTGCTGACGTCGTAGGGCTTGCCTGTGTTGTCGAACACGGCCGAGGAGAGAATAGGTAAATATGCCGAGAAGAGGACATTCCGATAATAAAGTATCGGGGCGACAATCCACATCACTAGGATGAGTCCGGTAACAACGTTTGCAGCAGCCCACCATGGAGTCAGCAACGGCGATCCAATGTAGGCAATTTGAGCCCAGTCGAAGGTCATAGGGAAGAGCCCCAGTCCCGAAGCCACTCCGAAAAGGTTTGAGACGACGACATTCTTCGGGGCGAACCAGGTAACGACGTTGAAGTAACTCAAGGCCGGCATCAGCAGTCCCGGAAAGAAATACCACACGAAGGCTGCAGCCCAAACATAAATGAAGAATCTGTACCGCGAAATCGTCCATCCATTGGCCGGCTTGTTTTCATCCTTGTGCATCGTAGTGAACATGGCAGTCGACATAAGAGTGCCGGGCCAGATCATGGCAGCCGGCCGGACAAGGTATCTTCTGGTCAGTCCAGCGAAAGCGTAACCAAGGATTTGGGTCGATATGGTCAACAGGAGTTGATATAGAATGGGCACGTCCTGCTTGTAGAATTTGTGCTGCTCGACAATGACATCGGTGGCAAAGGCAAATCCGAAGGAGACGTTGCTGCTAATGTACACGCAAGCGTGTTCCTTTTCGTTCCAGCGCCCCTGCGCCAACCATAGCCGCAGCCATCCAAGTCGAGTCTGCGAGACCGGGAGCTCCTCGTTCTGCAGCGAGCCATTTACAAAGCACTGTTCCTGGTCGTCCGTCCGCTTGAGGAGGTAGTCCCAGAGCTTCCCCATAGGATGAACTAGCACTAGAGCAATAACTGGAGTAATGGCGACGCTCGGGTATCTCAATGAGAAAAACAGATTCGTAGCTGAGCCCCCTATTGCAAATAACAGCGACAGAGCCCACATCCGAGGCGTGTTTATAGACAGGGCAATGTTATCGGTGGCCGGCACCGAAGCTCGAACCTCGGGGTACGGAGAGTTGTCGGGGGGATCCTCTGCAGAGGGAACGTATTCATCGTCCATGCCCGACGGGCTTGCAGCACCGGTACTTGCATTGGAAGACTCTGCTTTGTCCTCGGCGATCGCAGAGTTGCAGGCGAAGGATGTTTTGGCATCCAAGCCCATTCCGACTTCACTGGCGGCAGAGGAGGACCTCCGACGCACCCACTCCGAGCTGCGCCGTTGCTGATAGTGTCGCCGTGCATCTGAAAAGTGGCCATGATCATCCCGGACATCGTGGGCGGACTGAATTCTTTTCCCACGGCTCTTCCTCGACACCCTCGGGCGGTGCGCATCCTCCTCGTCTTCGGATTCCACGTCCGAGTCCAGCCTCTCATTCAGCACCGGGACAGTGCCATAGGAACCGGTGCCCAGGGCCGGGGAAGAGCGTATCAGAAGCAGACTGCGAGACATGATGGCATCCCACGCACGGGAGATCAGTCCTCGGCGCCTCTGGACTGGGTGGGAGCGGGGAGGTGTCACCGCACAGAAGGCAACGGAATCGTGGGTTCGCGGAAGCTGGAGAGCAGTGCCCGGCTCAGTTTGGGGCTCCAATTCAGCTGGTGCAGCAGCATCTTGCTGCGCATGAGAAGGAGACGAGGACGAGGGAAATGTAGAGAGCTCGAGCGCAGGGGTGGTGGCGGTGGTAGACCGGAGGTGGGAAGTAGTTGTATTTGGAGCCTGACCCGACCCAGGGAGCATGGCATTGTTAGGTCCAAGTCATGGCTAGGCCGCAGTAGCAGCAACAGGAAAGAAAAGAAAAGTGGCCACGACACAGCCAGCGACACGACACAAGACACGACGTGGGAGGACTTCGCAGGTACCCAGTACAGGTTGCGCCGTTGGCTACACCGGGACAAAGTGGGCTGCAAGTGGTGCGATGGAACAACTAGTGAGGGCAGACTGGGCGGGATTCGGCGGGCGAGCTAAGCTACAAGTAGGTACAAGTACATAGCTATTAGACCATCACATCAGATAAGATTAGGGAAGAGCCCGACTCCCCTCTGCATTGTCCGGGCGCTTAGGGGGCCCAGAGGGGGGCCGAGGGCGCCCCCAAGTCACCCCCAAGTCACCCCCAACCGATTCTTGCCGTATGGGCACAGGTGCTGTAGCCCCTGCACAAGGCTGGTGGGCTTTCTATCACAGCCTCACCAATAGCACATTTCTCTCCATCCACGCCAGACCTTGAGAAAGTCGGGTGAGTTTTACTGAAGACCAGCCATGGCAATCTGGCGCCTGACCCCCTTCTGTGCACCGATTGCTCACTATTAGATCCGGTCAGAATGACGTCCCCGTTGGAGCCGTGGACCTTGGCTTGACATGAGACCGACATCGGCCTCTCTTCGCACGAGCATCTGCTTCACTTTTCCTCCCGTCCACATATAGACCATGCCTTTATCATATTCCTTGGTCTCCAACCATGCTCGTCAACCCTTGACCGGGGTGTCTGTGCATTGGATCCATCACAGCTCTACCAAGTCTTGCTCTCCTTGCGTCCCGCCTCAAAACCCTCCAACATCAGCCCCGGCCCGAGTCAACATGTCATACACCCGACTTGGCAGCTTGTATTTCACCAGCCCAGCAAAAACCATCAGATCCTTGGCCATGTTACTGAGTTGCTCTTTCATTTCATCCGCATCGCCACCATATCCTGCCTCCCACCTGCCATGCCGTATGATATTACCTCGTTCGCCCCCAATTGCCCGCACCGCCCACACAACACTGACTCCAGCACAACGGGCAAGGATTTGCGGAAGGGCGCTAAAGGCTGTTGCTGCCGCCCGGATGGTGGGAATAGATCCATTCGCCCGCAACGGCAGCAAGCCCAGGTCGTGAAGTTCCTCCAATGCTGTCATATATCGAGGCGGTTTGGCTTCGAGATGTTCTCGCACAGAAAGCAGTCGGATGAGGGCCCCACAAATCTCTCGGTTCGCGCTTGAAATTCGGTTGAAGTAGGCGGCGTTCTCATTGTACAAAGATATCATGTTCTTCCCCAATTCGAACGGAGAAGAGGTCGATTGTGTCAGTGACAATGACGACTGAGCTCCTCCCTGAGTGCTGCTTGACGGCTCACTCGGGCCATTGGACTTGCGAGGCTTCAGAGGTTGCAGCTGCATCGGTGCCTCCCCCAGGTCCAGCGTCACAGCATCAGCCAGTGCTCGGTTC